CCCTGACCCCATTGGTTTATTTTTATTTTCCAAATGTGTGATATACAGATTATTTGGTAAGATATAACAAAAGGAGACTCCCACTGATGACTGCTGTCGTTGTGTCCTTGGGCAAGACACTTAACCCCACTTTGCCTGAAGCCCCCGCTGAAAGATCAAGGCTTTGCCATAGAGCAACCATCCTCCTGTGGACTCGCCACCTTCAGGAGGATCAGTGAGGAGCTGGTGCTATGTGTACTGGGTGGCACCTTTGGCCATCCCCCCCCCCCGACCCAGAAATGGATTAAGGAGTAGAAAATGGATGGAATGGATGGATGGATGGATATAAAAGATTCAGATTCAGTTTTATTTGCCATTTGCAGTAAAAAAAAAAAAAAAAAAACACATTGGAATACATTAGCAAAAAGTCTGTGTGCACAGACAAATACAGACACAAAACAACATTAAAAAACAAAAATAAAACAAATTTTAAAAAACAGTAAACAAATGTCACCGTGAAGTTGACCAACTTAAAACAGATCTGTACGAGTGCAACAAAAAAAACATTAAAGTGCTCTATTCAGACTGATAACAGCTCGTGGAAAAAACTATTTGCATAACGAGATGTCCTGCATCTCAGGGAACAGTATCTTCTGCCAGAGGGAAGAAGCTGGAACAAGGCTTTTCCTGGGTGGCCAGAAGAGTCATTGATAATTCTCAGGGCACTGTTAAAAAGTCTGGATTTATAAAGAACCTCCAGGACAGGAAGTTCACAGCCCACGGTCCTCTTTGCAGAGCGGAGCACCTTGTTTAAAGCTCTCTTTTCTTTATCTGTGATGTTACCGAACCACACAGACACAGAACCAACAAGTAAACTCTCAATGGTGCAGCGATAAAAGTTCAGCAGAATCTTAGAGTTAGTGGTAAATTCTCCGTTCCCAGCACGCCCAGCCTCCTGCGTAAAGTTTCCGCAGGAAGTAGAGACGCTGACGGGCTTTCTTTACGACCCGGTCAGTGTTTTTAACCCATTTCAGGTCATTAGACAGAGTTAGACCCAGAAACTTACACTCCTCTACAATCTGCACTTGGGAGTTATCGATTGCGACAGGCAAATGAGAACTATTGCGACTGAAATCAAAGACCAGTTCGCATGTTTTGGATGCGTTCAGCTGGAGGTTGTTAGCCTTACTCCACTGAACCACGTTTTGGATCTCGGCTCTATAAGACGATTCATCGTTATTACTGATGAGACCGATGATGGTGGTGTCATCAGCATATTTGATGATCAGGTTAGAGTCTGAGGAAGACACACAATCATGAGTGTACAGTGTAAAAAGTAAAGGACTCAAAATACATCCCTGAGGAGATCCAGTGCTCACAGAAACAACATCTGAAAAACAGTCATTGATTTTCACTCTCTGAGATCTGTCTGTTAAAAAGCTATAGATCCATTTACACATGGCAACACTTAAGCCGAGAGACATGAGCTTTTCAATCAGTATACCTGGGACAAGGCAGTTAAAAGCAGAGCTATAATCAATGAACAGCATTCTTGCAACAGATTTCCTATTGTCCAAGTGACTGTAGACAGAGTTCAGAGCAAAGGAGATGGCATCCTCCACACTCCTATTCTGTCTTTAAGCAAACTGGAGCGGGTCAACGCTCACAGGGATCTGGCTCTTAATCAGAATCAGAATCAGAATCAGAATCATTTTTATTGCCACGTGAGTAACAAAGTTATCACTTGGAAATTGTCTTGGCAGAGAGCGTGCCACTTCGCCATTTGCGGCGCTGTGTGCAGCAAGAAACAGCAGAGAGCAATAACATTCAGGTAACAACAGACAGTTGGATAGAAAACATTGTGCTTTGTATAAACCACGGATTTTTTTCACGGGATGAGCACCTCCGGCCTGCCGGTCCAATGTGGCTGTCAGAGGGGGGCGGGGTCAGGGAGGGGGTGAGTCGGAAACACAGTAAGGAGGGGAGGGGAGGGAGAGATCAGAGGGAGGCGGGGGGAGCGGGATCCAAACTGGAAGACTGAAAGAGTGTGAAATTTTTGTAGAGACCAGATTTATTATGATGGCCTTGGCCCGAGGAATGTGAGATAAGAGAGGAGGGAAGACACAATAGGGAGAGAACACATCTCCTGTAACGAGGGACAATATTGTATGCAGTTTAGCAGTCAAAAACAGGCAGATATTCTATTAAATCCAATTAGACCAAATTACAGCGCCCTCAGACCCCGTACACAGGGGCAAATCCAAGCCGGGTCAGAGAGTTCAAGCCTGGCAGACAATGTCATTCAATCTCAATTCCAGAGTCTTATGACCATCAAGTGAACGAGCTGCGAGATCTTTGATCAACTGTTCCACTAACACCACTCTTCGTTGTCCAGCCACAGCGCTCTCAACCACGACTCGGTTAAGCTCCTTGTACATCCCATCAATTTTTTCGGCCAGCAGGTCGTGAATCTTGCGAACTGCCATGCCTCCGAATTTGTGGTAGAAGAGAACCGCTCCAAACCCAAACAGGAGGATCCCCACCACCAAAATGCCAAAGATATATACGTCTTCCGAATCTTCAATGGACAGGGTCGACAGACAGAGGGGCTGAAACTTGTTCCAGCTGTCAAGCGTATACCCCGCTGGTGAAGTCCCGTCCGGGCACACGGGCTCTCCAGACCCGCGCTTACGTGTTGAAAAGATAGAATCAATTGCGTTGAGGGACCAGTTAATCATTTCCATTCTGTTAAAGTTGTCTGTGGCAAAACTCCAGGAAAAAAAGACAAAAACAGGAGATAGCAAGCCGTTCAGAAGCAGGAGCGGACTAAGACACGTCCTTGCACGACGAAGGAGGAAGGAGGAAGTCCAACACAAGCCGCTCAAAAGTCTTCATTAGGACAGAAGTGAGGGCCACAGGACGATAGTCATTAAGGCATGTCACAGGAGTTTTCTTAGGAATTGGGATAATGGTCGACTCTTTGAAGCAGTTCGGCACAGTACAGTTCCTTAGCAACAGGTTGAAAATGTCTGTTAAAACAGGGGCAAGTTGCTCAGAGCACAGTTTCAGGACACGAGGAGGGATGCCGTCCGGGCCTGGGGCTTTCCGGACAATGGTGCTGGACAAGACCCGCTGGACTGCCTCCTGAGTCACGGTGAACGCCCCTTGATTGAGGCAATCAGGAAAGACAGTAGGACAGGCATCGGCAGATTCGAAGCGGCAGTAGAACGTGTTCAGCTCATTAGGCAGAGCTGGGCCAACAGATCCGATTTTCCCAGCACTAGGTTTCCAGGACGTGATGGCTTTAATACCGCTCCACATGCGCCGAGGGTCATCTTCCTTGAAATAACCCTTTAACCTGTCCCCGTAACTGCGCTTTGCAGATTTAATAGAACGTTTCAATGCATAACAGGATAGCTTATAGGCAACTGTATCGTTAGATTGGAACGCCAGAGCACGCTCATGAAGTTTTTGTTTCACTTCCGCGTTCATCCAAGGGTTTTGACTGAGATGTACTTTAATGACCTTCTGTGGGACACAGCAGTCAATACAGAAGCGTATGTATCCAGTCACAGCGTCACAGAATTCATTAACATCCTCTGATTGAAACACAGACCAGTCAGTGGCATCAAAACAACCTTGTAGCTTCATGCCAGCCTCCTCAGACCAACACTGCACAGTGCGTGAGGTTGGTTTATGTTCCCTGCTCCTCTGAGTGTATGAGGGAAGAAGGAGAACAGAGGAGTGGTCAGACTTTCCAAATGGAGGTCTGAGACTGGACCTGTAAGCTCCCTTCACATTGCTGTAGCAGTGATCCAGGATCTGTGCTCCTCTTGTAGCTCGAGTCACATGTTGGTAGAAATTTGGGAGTACAGTCTTTAAATTACATTTGTTAAAATCCCCAGCGACAATAATCACTGCATTAGGATGAGCAGTCTCGTGTTTATGAAGGATCTCGCTCAGATCCTGTAGTGCTACAGTATAGTCCGCTCGTGGGTGGATGTAAACAGCGCATAAAAATATCACAGAAAACTCCCGCGGAAGATAAAAAGGGCGACAGCTCAAGACCAGGCATTCCAGATTGGCAGTACATGTTTGGTTCACGATGCGAGTATCCGTGCACCAGCGCTGATTAATTAAAAAGCACACACCTCCACCTCTGGATTTCCCCGTGGTCTCCTTATCTCTGTCCGCGCGGTGAACGGTGAATCCCGGGGGCTGAACAGCAGAGTCCGGGACGCCTGGATGGAGCCACGTCTCGCTGAGGCAGAACACAGCGCAGTCCCGGGCCTCTCGCTGGCTCTGGACCCGACACAGAAGCTCGTCCGTCTTGTTGGGCAGAGACTGGACGTTGGCCAGGTAGATGGAGGGCAAAGGGGTCCTGGAGGAGCGGCTACGAACGAGCAGACCGCCTCGTTTTCCCCGGTGTCTGCGCCTCCTACGTCGGCTCCCGGTACCCAGCTCCACACCGCGGAGAGCACGATGGGGACGCCCAGTCCCCCCGCTCTGTTCGCGGCCATTGCTTTTTACGGTTTACTCATCTTCAACGATGTGTTCCTTACAACGATGTGTGACGGTAGACTATGCCATCTTAGATTTAGATCTAGCAGAATGTAATTTCCCTCTTTAAACATTGGATGGTAGTACTACTCTTTCAAACTATCCCTTTCTACCTCATGACAATAGTCTATTATTCAAGGAGTAATTGAACAGATCATTTGTGTTCCTGCGTAATCTGACTGCAGAACACAGCATCTACAGTAAGGGCTGACCAATTCATTGGTTGGCCAATTCTAATGTTTTGCAAGACATTGGCGGGGCTGGCCCAGGGCATAGGCTGGGTCGCCATCTGCAGGATGGGGTGCAAAATGCAGTCTTAAAAAAAAAGCTTCGGTCCAAGAGCCAACTTTTGGTCCATCCTGTAAAGACGTTTTCGAGAGGTCTGCCAATGCTATATGTTAGCATGAAAAGAAAGTGTCAGAGTCTAAGTTGTTATTTGTGAATGAAGATGATTTTTTCAGTAAGCTCTACCTGCTGAGGAGGCTCTACCTGCTGAGGAGGCTCTACCTGCTGAGGAGGCTCTACCTGCTGAGGAGGCTCTACCTGCTGAGGAGGCTCTACCTACTGAGGAGGCTCTACCTGCTGAGGAGGCTCTACTTGCTGAGGAGGCTCTACCTGCTGAGGAGGCTCTACTTGCTGAGGAGGCTCTACCTGCTGAGGAGGCTCTACCTGCTGAGGGGGCTCAGGTCTTTTGGAGTGCAGGGGCCACTCCTGAAGTCCTTCTCTGACTTCTCCACTCTGTGGTGGAGCCTCTTGTACGGTGTGGTCTGCTGGAGCAGCAGCATCACAGAGAGGGAAGAAGCTGGAACATCAGGACACTCCAGTTGTCAACAAAGACAACTCAATGTTGAGGGCACCAATTAGACAGCCAGACACTCTGGGCTCTCCGGTTTACCCCAAAACGTGCTCCAGGTTTATCCCAGACCAAGAGCATCATTGTATTATTTGTGAATTTTACAATAATATTGCATTGGAATTTCCTCTGGGGCGATTTTCTGACCACTCTTCCTTCCCCTGTATGTCCATGTGTGCGTGGCCATCCTCATGTGTGTGTGTGTGTAGGCGTGCATGCTCATTCCGTGTGTGTGTGCGCTCTGTTCCGCCCAGATCTCAAAGCCCCGCCCACCGCCACGCAGGCCACGCCCACGCTTACGGACACCGCACCCGCCGCTGCAGAGGAGACGGACATAGATGCAGTGGAGAGTGGCCCTGTTCTGCTGCTGGAGGAGAAGAACCCAGACAGAGGAGTCACTGATCTGGACGCCACAGATCCACCGGAGAAGGTATGGTTCTGCCAACATATGGTTCAGAGTTGGGAGAAGACACACACTGATTGAAACTAAGGCTGGGAAATTCTGGGTCCCTTAAAATATGATATACTAAATATGTCTCAGAAATCGATTAAAATACAATGTGTTTACAGTGTGATTACTAATATGTTGATCATATACTGTATCTGTTAACAATACATCCCATTCAAACTGTTATAGAAGGTAATGTACCTAGTTATCAGGTACATTATATATATATTTGGAAGATGTATGGCTATCAATTGTAATTTGAAGAATGCATTAGACAACAAAATGGATACCCCCATGTCCAGTAGGGTTGTTATGATGCACATATCCAAATCGTGATACTCAGAGCCACAATCCTGTCCAGTGGTACGAAGAGGTTGAACTGTGACAAACCTTCAAGACTAGTTTAAACCAAATAATTAGCGGTTTGAACTGCCTATACGTCAAGGGTTTTGAGTAGACTTCTTTTCCGTGCAACTTGCAACGTTCACAAACTGATAATAATAATACTATACCAAAGCAGTGGGCACAGCCTGAAACCGCTTCTGACCTGGATCCAGTTCCAGTAGCCGAGTCCAACTGTGCTCCACTGGCAGCATGGGTCCTTAGGCATGTCCAGTCTAAGGTCCGAGGCCCAAATGTGGCCCACTGTGTGATTTAGGTACTTTGACAGTGTGATCCAGCCAACTTAAGCTCCACCCATGTAGTCATGCTTTGTTGTAAAGTTGAGAACCTTTGGAATCAAATTGTTTCCAAAAGCTGTCGAAATCTGCAATGTATGTGTTTTTCTTTGAGCGACACTTCACCAAAGACTGTTCCCAGAACTCGGGTTACCTTAAAACTGGACTTACTCTCAATCTGATCTTGAAACCTGGTGTTATTCCACAATAAAAGACTCTAACGAGGAGCCAAGATCTGTAAGTACAATGCTACTAACTCACTGATACTTCTGGTAACATTTCAGGCTTATTTATTAACCTCAGAGGCTGTGGTGGAGGCGGGCTCATAGAGGAAGAAGCACAAATCCAGCCTTTTCAATACGGCTAAAATTTCACAGCTTTTGAGTGTTGTATGGTGTATCACCCAAATGATTATGGCTCGCTGGATTGTACTCAACTGTAGACTTAACAGTTTGGAGGTCTAGACTTTTACCAAAACTCCAATCACACTTCAAGAATATCACAAAAATAGGATTTATCAATTAAAGAACATCGCCAGAGTCCGCCCCATTCTCTCTCTGGGCAACACGGAGACGCTGATGCTTTTATCACCAGTCGCATTGACTACTGTAATGCCCTGCTCTCTGGTCTTCCAAAAAAGAACATTTCAGGTTACTCCAAAACTCGGCCGCACGTGTCCTGACTAAGACCAGGGGGCGTGTCCTGACTAAGACCAGGGGGCGTGGCCTGACTAAGACCAGGGGGCGTGTCCTGACTAAGACCAGAGGGCGTGTCCTGACTAAGACCAGGGGCGTGTCCTGACTAAGACCAGAGGGCGTGTCCCGACTAAGACCAGGGGGCGTGGCCTGACTAAGACCAGAGGGCGTGTGCTGACTAAGACCAGGGGGCGTGTCCTGACTAAGACCAGGGGGCGTGTCCTGACTAAGACCAGAGGGCGTGTACGACTAAGACCAGGGGGCGTGTCCTGACTAAGACCAGGGGGCGTGTCCTGACTAAGACCAGGGGGCGTGTCCCGACTAAGACCAGGGGGCGTGTCCCGACTAAGACCAGGGGGCGTGTCCCGACTAAGACCGGGGCGTGTCCTGACTAAGACCAGGGCGTGTCCTGACTAAGACCAGGGGCGTGTCCTGACTAAGACCAGGGGCGTGTCCTGACTAAGACCAGGGCGTGTCCTGACTAAGACCAGAGGGCGTGTCCTGACTAAGACCAGAGGGCGTGTCCTGACTAAGACCAGAGGGCGTGTCCTGACTAAGACCAGGGGTGTCCTGACTAAGACCAGGGGCGTGTCCTGACTAAGACCAGGGGCGTGTCCTGACTAAGACCAGGGGCGTGTCCTGACTAAGACCAGGGGCGTGTCCTGACTAAGACCAGGGGGCGTGTCCTGACTAAGACCAGGGGGCGTGTCCTGACTAAGACCAGGGGCGTGTCCTGACTAAGACCAGGGGGCGTGTCCTGACTAAGACCAGGGGGCGTGTCCTGACTAAGACCAGGGGCGTGTCCTGACTAAGACCAGAGGGCGTGTCCTGACTAAGACCAGGGGCGTGTCCTGACTAAGACCAGGGGCGTGTCCTGACTAAGACCAGGGGCGTGTCCTGACTAAGACCAGGGGCGTGTCCTGACTAAGACCAGAGGGCGTGTCCTGACTAAGACCAGGGGCGTGTCCTGACTAAGACCAGACAGGGCGTGTCCTGACTAAGACCAGGGGGGCGCTGACAGGGCTGCCTGACTAAGACCAGGGGCGTGTGCTGACTAAGACCAGGGGGGCTGACGTGTCCTGACTAAGACCAGGGGGCGTGTCCTGACTAAGACCAGAGGGCGTGTACGACTAAGACCAGGGGGCGTGTCCTGACTAAGACCAGGGGGCGTGTCCTGACTAAGACCAGGGGGCGTGTCCCGACTAAGACCAGGGGGCGTGTCCCGACTAAGACCAGGGGGCGTGTCCCGACTAAGACCAGGGGGCGTGTCCTGACTAAGACCAGGGGCGTGTCCTGACTAAGACCAGGGGCGTGTCCTGACTAAGACCAGGGGCGTGTCCTGACTAAGACCAGAGGGCGTGTCCTGACTAAGACCAGAGGGCGTGTCCTGACTAAGACCAGGGGCGTGTCCTGACTAAGACCAGGGGGCGTGTCCTGACTAAGACCAGGGGGCGTGTCCTGACTAAGACCAGGGGCGTGTCCTGACTAAGACCAGGGGGCGTGTCCTGACTAAGACCAGGGGGCGTGTCCTGACTAAGACCAGAGGGCGTGTCCTGACTAAGACCAGAGGGCGTGTCCTGACTAAGACCAGGGGCGTGTCCTGACTAAGACCAGGGGGCGTGTCCTGACTAAGACCAGAGGGCGTGTCCTGACTAAGACCAGGGGCGTGTCCTGACTAAGACCAGAGGGCGTGTCCTGACTAAGACCAGGGGCGTGTCCTGACTAAGACCAGGGGCGTGTCCTGACTAAGACCAGGGGGCGTGTCCTGACTAAGACCAGGGGGCGTGACAACATTACACCGCTTTTTAAATCGCTGCATTGGCTCCCCGTGTGTTTCAGGATACATTTTAAGGTTCTTTTAATGGTTTTTAAATGTCTTAATGGTCTTGGGACTTCTTATCTTTCAGATTTGCTTTTATCCTATGAACCTTCCCGGCCCCTGTGCTCCTCCGGCAGCAGACTCCTAACCATCCCCAAAGTCAGGACACACACTCACACAGACACACACACACAGACACACACTCACACAGACACTCACACACTCACTCACACAGACACACACACTCACACAGACACACACACAGACACTCACACAGACACACACACTCGCACAGACACTCACACACACACTCGCACAGACACACACACAGACACTCACACAGACACACACACAGACACAGACACTCACACAAACACACACACTCACACCCACACTCACACAGACACTCACACAAACACTCACACAGACACACACACAGACACACACACAGACACTCACACAGACACTCACACTCGCACAGACACTCACACACACACTCGCACAGACACACACACAGACACTCACACAGACACACACACAGACACACACACAGACACTCACACAAACACACACACTCACACACACACTCACACAGACACTCACACAAACACTCACACAGACACACACACAGACACAGACACAGACACACACACAGACACACACACAGACACACACACTCACGGCGAGGCATCTTTCCAACACTACGGCCCCCGTCTCTGGAACAGTCTGAGGAGGAGCTCAGGGCCGCAGAGAACATTCATATTTTTAAAAGTAGGCTCAAGACGCACCTTTTTAGAGTAGCTTTTGATTAGTATTTATTATTTATCATTGTGTTTTATTTAATACATTTTTTTAGACAAATTTTATTTTGTTTTTTATTTATTTTGTTTTTGTCATTTACTATTGTTATTATTAATATTAGGTAGCTGCCATTTTCTTTTTAGACTCACATTTTAATGTTTTACTTTTTATTGTGGCGACAGTGGCTCAGTTGGTAGAGCATTGGCCTTTGGGCCTGTAAGTAAGTAATCTTTATTTATATACCGCCTTTCACAGACCAGAGTCTCAAAGCGGTTTACAATTGTTATTTTTGGGCATTTGTCTCTCACTCCACACAGAGATGGGAGCGGGGTCGCCAAACAGGAGGCGCATGCCAGAACTATTGTACATATTTTTAGTGGTAGGGGAAACCGGAGTACCCGGAGGAAACCTACGCAGTCACGGGGAGAACATACAAACTCCACTCAGAAAGGCCCTGGTCCGACCGGGATTCAAACCCAGGACCTTCTTGCTGAGAGGCGAGAGTGCTATCCACTCAGCCACCGTGCCGCTCAGTGCCGCCTGAAGGTTGTGGGTTCGAGCCCATCGTAAGACCTACTTCACAACTCCCACTGATGACTGCTGTCGTTGTGTCCTTGGGCAAGACACTTAACCCCACTTTCCCTGAAGCCCGCACTGAAAGATCTCAGCTCCTGTGGACTCAGCACCTGCAGGAGGATCAGTGAGGGGCTGGTGCTCTGTGACTGGGTGCAGCTCCCCGACTGGGTCCTCACAGAAGAACTTAATCCAACTCACATGAGGGAGTGTGGCCAGTGGGATGTCAAAACTGACCGGGAATGTTCCTAATGAGAAGACGAGAGCAGACTTTAAAATCACACCAAAGCATTACTTAAACTTGTGGTTTCAGACGCGGAAAATATGTATTTAGCTTATTTTTATAATTACAAAAACCCTCTAACACACATTGTGTGTGGTTTTGTGGATGGGGCGCAGCTCTCACTGCCAGGGGCA